CTCACCCCAGAAAGAATGGCTATCATCAAGAAATCAACCAATAACAAATGCTGGAGGGGCTGTGGGGAAAAAGGAGCCCTTCTCCACTGTTGGTGGGAGTTTAGACTGGTGCAGCCACTGTGGAAATCAGTCTGGAAATTCCTCAATAAACTAGAATTAGAGGTCCCATTCAACCCAGATCTTCCCCTCCTGGGTATTTTTCCAGAAGAATGGAAAACATCATACCAGAGCCATATATGTGCACCCATGTTAATAGCAGTGCAATTTGTAATAGCTAAATCTTGGAAACAACCAAAATGTCCATCAACTGAGGAATGGATAAAAAGATGTGGTATTTTTATACAATAGAATATTACTCTGCTCTAAAGGAGGATAAACCAGAGGCTTTTATAGGTAAATGGATGCAACTAGAGACTATACTCATTAGTGAAATAAATCAGATTCACATGTGTAAACATTGTATTTCCTCCCTACTATGAGAACCTGAAAGAGTGAATAAATCTGAAAGGTACAGCAGATATTGTGAAAGGGAAAAGAAACTGCTCAAATAGGAAGGAGCAACTGGGATGAAAGAAGGGAGAGCAAAAGGAAAGAAGGAAGAGAGAAAAAAATATGTATGCATATACACATGATAGCTGAGATAATTGTACTGCTGGTGTCTGATGGTTTATTGAAAGGAACTGTTAATGTATAATTGTTTGGTCAGTCTTGCTTGCTTATATCTGGTTATATGTGCCACTATTTTGAAGATGACATTATGTAATATAACAACCATTGGTAATATCCTATCACCATGTTTTGAAATTTTGTATCATTTTTATTGTTCTCTATGCTGTTTTGTTTACATATTTGTTTTCTTTTAAATGAAAAACAAAATTTATATGCATATATAAGGATAGCTGGAATAGGTGCATTGTTGATGTCTGTGGTTTATTGAAATGAACAGTCAATGGTTAAAATTTTCTTTTTTCTTGACCAGTTTTGCATGCTTGATTTTGGTAGTTAGAATGACTGATCTGAAAACAACAACATGTAGCATAGGAACCATTGCTGAACTCCTACCATATTGTATGGTGAAGCTCTGCATCATTTCCAATGTTGTTTTTTTTAATTACTTGTTACTGTCTTTGATTGATCAATTTTAGATTCTTATGTCTGGTAGACTGAGAAACTTTGTTGAAGATAACAGTATGTAATATAGCAACCATTGTTAATTGCTATCACCTTTTTTGGGGGGGTTTCTGATACCAGGAGCTGAACTCACGACCCTGTGCCTCTGAGCAAAATTCCCAGCCCCAATTCTTATCATTTTATTTTGAAATCATGTATTATTTTTGTTGTTTTTGTGTAGTTGTGTTTCGATTTTGTCTTCATTGTTGTTTTGTTAGTTTTTCTAATTTTTAAAATAAAAAAAGAAGTCAACCTAATTTCAATTTCTTGAATATTACAGTAAGAAATATTATTGGTATTATTTGATAATCACACATATATTTAGAACTTTAACATATATATATGACTATAGCAATATTTATGACTACAGGTGCACGTTTTAAAACACAGCATTTGAAAAACATACCCAAAATAAATGCTTTGTTTGGGACCTCGGAGGAGTAGAGGTGTACAGGCAAACTGCGGCACTGTAAGTTCACTTGAAATGGTCTCTGTCTCCCTGGTGTGTCACAACCCAGAATGGTTATGCACAATTCACATTGTGCTTTCAATTTTAGGAACCGATATTTGCTCATGTTTGATTTATAATTGTTACAGAAGGACTACACAGAGAAGCACTTCAAGAGTGAAGAGGAGGGAGCAGGGAGCACACATGCCCTCGCCCAATGCATGGCGTTAAATTCGGGAAATCAAAGGCATGCAACAAATTGAGAAGAGCTCATTCCCAAACAACCTCACCAGCCTCCTACGAACTGTGGGGGCCGAGACAGCTCATCACGGGGCTGCTCTCAGCCCTGGTCTCGGTACATGGTGAAGTCAGATGGGGACCACCAGTCTTGCTGGATCAGAAAGGCAGATCCAATTTAGAACTCCATAGAAAGATCCCATGTGCAGAGAGGTTGCAGAAAACAATAGCCCTTGGTGACAAAACAAAACAAAACAAAACAAGCAAACAAACAAACCAGAGGGCAGCATGACAGCTGCCAGAGGCTGCAGTAGTGGCTGAGGCAAAGATCAAACCAAGCAAAATTTACCTGAGGCATCTGGAAAATAAGACAGGTGTAGTGGACTTTGATACACTCCCACTTATTTCCAGAGGTTGGTAAGACTGCACACACACAAGAGAGGCCAAAGAGGACCAGAGTTACATCCACACATCCTGGTTACACATGAGGCCTTGCACAGAAGGAGGTACAATCCAGCTGTTATGGTTGAAACATTGTGTCAACTTGAGGAGTCTAGAAGCTTAACTGAATGACTCAGCAGTTCTGCATCCCGGGGTGAACAGGACATGCCATTTCTGCTCTAGGATGTTGTTCATCATGTAAACTTGAGACGTTTAGGTTAAGTAAGTGGATGAGCAGGGCTGGGTCCGTGCTTTGTATCACCCTGAGCCTGTGCAGGAGGGGGACATGGAAGCTGGGTGTGGTGGCACATGCCAGTAATGCCAGCACTCAGGAGGTTGAGGCAGGAGGATCATCGTGAGTTCAGTGCCAGCCTGGGCTACAAAGTGAGCTCAGACACTGTCTCAAAAAGACACACACACAAAAAAAGAAGAGGGCATTGAGATTATGTGAGTGCTACACACCTGCCAGTTTGGGGTAGCCTGCTTACCATGTAAGGGAGGAAAAGAGGTCTGTTCTCCCACTTGTGCTCTTGCTGATTTTGTGGTCTTCTGCTGCCTTCAACTGTTGCCCTCTGCCATGTGCCACCCTGCCTTGGAGCCAGCCAAGTATAGACTGAAACCTCTACAAACTGTGAGCTAAATAAACCTTTCCTCCCTTAATTTTGGGTGCTGAGTATTATGTCTCAGCAATGAGAGAAAGGTAACCGAGACACCAGCACAGATGTGTAAACTGCTCATATGATGAGCAGGTGCCCTCACTCACACAGAGCTCCTCAGCATGGGGCAGGGAGCACAGTAGCTTGAGGTGTTAGATGCAGTCCCTGCTCCATCACTGCTCCCCACTGTGCTCTTCCGACCCGAGAATGGCTCCTAGGAAGCGAGGGTTAACAGCAGAAATAAGAACTAAGAAAAGAAGGTGGGGGAGGGAGATACAGCAGAATCCTTGGAGGGGTGGATGAAGGAAAGAAATATGCAGTTATATACTGAGAAGAATGAGAAAAAGTAAGCAAACACAAACTGCAGGGTAGGTGAAATCTATGAAATGTGTCCAGACAGGAAACTGAATAAAAACAAATAATAATAAAAAGACAATAAAACAGACAAAATGCTTTATTTGATGAGCTTCATCCCCAACATTATTTCCATTCAACAATGAAAGGAAAAGAAGAACATCTCAGCTACACAAACTGAAAAAAAGCCAAATGTAAACAATACTTAGAATTTATTTCTTAACAGAGTGAGAGAAAAATAAATCTAAGCTTAATTAGCATAAATCAGGTCACCAACAGTTAGATGCAGAATTATTTGGTCACACTACAAGTGGGTGTGAAGGTTTACCAAATTCGAGTTTTGGACTATGGTGTTATTTACACAAGCACATGCATTTGTCCAAATAACTAGAATTGTGCACTTAACACTGAGGCATGTTTTTGGAAGTTGTACATCAGTAAAGCTGATGTGAAATTTTTTAAATAAAGAAAAGCATTCCTATAGTGAACAGAACAAAGACCAATTGAAGAAGCAAGTATTGCAACCTCAGACAGAGGGACAGTTGTTTTCTCCCTCGCTAGTTCAGCACCTCTGTGTGCCTCTCTCATATTCAGGTCTTTAAAGAAGGCAGCTGAATTAATGAATGAATCCTAAGGAGACTAACAAATAGCAGTATGTTCTCAGATATCATACAATGTATCTTCCATATACTTTGGTGTCTTGATCCAATCCCAAACCTAAGAACCATCTCTCTTGCTCATTTTTCTTACTCATCCTGTGAAATGTCTGCCCTACAATCAATCTCTCTCTCTCTCTTCCCCCCTTCCTTCCTCTCTCTCTTCCTCTCTCTCAGTATGTCTCCTTTGTGTTTGTATATAGAAATATGTGTGTCAGTGGAAAAAATGGCATTTTTCCTTGGAGTTCTAGGCAGAAGAAGAGTGAGCTAAAACAGGATGGAATTTCTTAGCTGTTAAATATTTAAATAAGAAAAAGATCATCAATGTTTCAAATGCTACAACAATGTCAAAGGGAAAAACTAGCAACATGGCAATTAATCTAACCATATACCGTGATCTTATTTGTTTAGTTTTTCAATAAGCACAAATTCCATGCAGGAAATGTACTTTGTCATGATCTTACCCCCAAGGAGCCTAAAATGAAAAGGGGGAGGAGGGAGAACTGGGTGAGAGCAGTTCACAAGGCAAGGGACCCAGACTGGCAGTAGACTGCAGTTGAAGGGCTCTCCAGGCTCTGGAGAAGGAATGGTTGCCTCATACTCATGGGTCAAGGAAGCTCTCTGGACAAAGATATAGTTGAGTACTACTGACAAAAATGGAGATCCCTTTCCATAGAGTTCCCGAAATTAGATCACACTAACGAGTAATTATTATGCATAAAGAGCAACAATTTAACAGATCATAGGATAGTAGGACGCCACCACTATGTTGTCCAAAGCTCCTGGGAATTTGGTTTGTCCTTACCATTGGGGAGACACAGTGAGGCATCTCATGGAATATTCCGATATGAACTGTGGAAGAACAGAAGTGGGAGAAACGCTAGATAAGTGGAAGATGGCAAGAGAAAAGCTAAGAAAGGTAACAAATATGAAACAAGAATTTGGCAAGAGAGGAGGAAATGTAATTGACTCACCAGCGCTTCTTACACCACAACCCAAGAGCTATCAGCAGCACCAGGGGCACTACCAGTGCCAAGGCGATCCAGTTCATGGAAAGGCGGTGTCCTGTGGTATTGGAGAGTGCAGCTGACGTGCATGTCATCTTAGAACAACTGCTGGCTCCACTCCAGCCACTGGTTTCCTTACTTAACATGAGAACTGGGTAACAGCCACACTGATTGTCCTGTTTCAGTCGCTACCCATGGAGGGGTTCCCATTCCTATCCACGGAGGGGTTCTTCACCTTCCCAAATGTCTAGGATCTATGTGTCCCTCAGGTTGCACTCCTCCAGAGATTGCTGGAGTCATCTGTGCTCATTCCTCCCTCAATTCCTCAGCTAAATTTGGTGTCACCAGATCTTCCTCTGTCCTACACTTAGGCTCAAGACACTCCCACTCCCACTTCCAACCCCAGGTCTCACCCCAGTAGAGGATGATGTCCTGGTCTCCCAGGCTGCTGTGCCTCACACGACAAGACAGCCCAGATGCCTCCTCCGTTGCCACATCCAGGGTCACCCGACGGTACCATGTCCCATCAGCATGCGGAAGAATATCGCCTTCCTTAGTGCCCAGCTGTTCCTGTTCACCTCGCATCCACATCACCCAAATAGGCTTTGGGTAGAAACCAGAGATGTGACAAACCAGCAACAGTCGGCCAGACTCCAGGGTGGGGCTACTGGACAGCCAGGCCTCTGGCCTCACTGCACAGAGAACAAAAGGGACTCAGATACAAACACTGAACACACACCTTAGGGAACATACACTATATCCAAGTCAGTATGCAGTCACCCTTTTTCTTCCTCTAGGAAAGTACCACCCAGCAGCACCTCTCCCTCTTGTCCTCCTCCCTGTGCTGTGTGAAGAAGATGGCAGGAAGGGGCTTGACTGGAATAAACAGTCTTAGAGGGAAGAGCTAAACTGACCTTGTCTCTGAAGATCCATCTTCCCTGCATCCAGGAGACCCAAGAGAAATCGGGGACAAGTGTTTCTCATGAGGTTGTTTGCTGTTTCCTTGATACCTTCATACTGATCGACTAGATCACAGACCTTCTGGGCCCGACTCCCACCCTCTGGAGATGGTACACATGTTGTGTCCCGGAGACTCATGAAATTTGATCCTTCAAAAGCCACCTGGAGGAAGGTTTTTAGGCTCTCACCAGAGTGAAGCTCACAGCCAGCTCTTGCCTGTACATTAAAGGGATCTAGGGGAAGGAAGGAATAAGAAAACAAGCTCAAATGAAGAAAATGACAGCAACGATATGGGAATCAAAGGGGCTTTTCAAATGTGGAGTAAAAAGCAGGGTATATAGGTGTGGGAATGATATATACAACTAGGAACAAAGGGAGGAAAAATCACTGGGGATGGAAAATGGAGCCAGTAAGAAATAAATATCTTTAATTAAGAAGATATTGACAGTTGGCAGAAAAGATAGGTGGACCATGAGCTACAGCCGGTGGGAGCAACTTCTATGAAGGAGATGGAAGCACACGATTTCATGATGCAAAGAATCGGTCACTATGGGTGTTAGACTGTGAATGTAGATCTTTGGAGGTATTACAGAGTTATATTTTAAGGAAGTCAGAGTGAGACAACTGTGTGCCTCTGGAGTATACACCACAGAAAGAGAACACAGAGGGAAAATGACAAAGCTCAGGGAAAAAATATTCCTGAAGTAGCCACAGTCTGGAAATTTTGAGTAAATATTTGGGATATCCCCCAAGAGTCTCCATGTAAACTTTTATGGTGGGCAGGAATAATGGAAATGTCCCAGAAAAGAATACAGAATATATCCTAGAAATAGAGGACTCAAGAAATCCCCTAGGTGAGATGATTGAACTTACATTTGAACTGTAACTGACTGGCGTAGTTTTGAACCTCCTTAGTTAATCCAATGAAGTAGAAACGAAATAGCAGCTGCAGGTCTAACAGCTCCTCATTGCTGAAGTTGCCCCGGGACCAGGTGTGCAGGAAAAGTATTGTGCCCGACTCACTGTCCCAGCCATGAGTCTGCAACTCACCCAGCCAACCAGAGCCCTGATTTTGTGCCCACGATTGGTTGGCATAGAATGAGATCTGGATTAGTTGGAATGTAGTGCGTTCCTGGACCGCTACAGAAGAAAGTCAAGGAGTGTAAGGAGAACAGAAGAGGAAGGCAAGAGAGAGATGGTGGAAAGTGAGCCATTTACCAAACAAAGAAGCATAATGCTTAGCTTCATGATGACATTTTCCTTCCAAAGGGCCCCTGCCCTTATACCATCTCCAAAAGAATGAGCTACACCTGGAGACAGGGTGCTCAAATTGTAGACCTTCTGGTACTCTAAGCAATCCACCTCGGGAAAGCCCACAACTCCCCACCTAGACCCACCTAACTGGGCAGCTGCTAGAGACCTGCTTACCCTTTGCATTGCCACTTTCTGGGAGAAGAACAGCCAGCAAC